CAGAAATCGAGGGTGTCATAATATTGGCTAGCCTCCGTTTCCGGCCAGCGATCATTATATTAGTACCTAGGCCGCCGCATGTAAAATATAGCCATTGATTATTATTCACCTGTGACTTAGTTTTAGTGCTCTTCTTGCTTTTGAATAAACGTGTGTGTGTCTTACAATCTACGCCTTCTGTTCATGAAAAAAGAACCACAACAGAGAGAGTGAACACAGCAAACGAATAAGATTTTTGATATAAAGCAACGATTCTTCACATACCGTATGGACAGACTTTACGTGATGTATTGGGTTTATTATATAGTTTACATGCACATAAGGAGAGTAAATGCTTCTTTTATAACAATTAATTGTCAAACAGACGATGGTTTATAAATCGATGATGAAAGATAAAAACCATACAAATTTCCCTTATCGATAGTGAGGCATGTTAAACATGAGGGTTCATAATCTTCTCTGTCTTTAAGTTGAAAAGAGCGAATAAACTCCGCAAGATATACGTTTAGTTCCTCAGGCGATATTGTGAGTACTTCAATAATTGAAATGATAGAAATTTTCAATGTGCACTTTGGCGCTTATTGAAAATTTCGGCTAAAACTGGGAGGGAGAGGAGGAGGATGCACTTATTTGTAGGGTGAGCGCTTTGTCGATTAGTCGAGAGGGGCACTTCTTAAGTTACCTCAGCAATAGAACAAAAGTCAAATAAAAAGATAATACATAAAGGAACTCTGCAAGCAAATAAAGAAATAAAAATCTGGAATGGAAAACAAAATTATTTTGCTGTACTGATTGCGCTGTTGTTCAAGGTTGAAAAGTTATCAAAAAAAGTGACAGCAAAAACATTTTTCAAGATTCTATACTATTTAAAAAAGTGAGGGAGGAGAAGGGTGGGGGGGGGGGGGTGGTTATCCGAGCGTGGCCTTATATTCTTCCCTCCGGACTCGTAAAAAATACCAGGCAACTCGTAAAATATCCGCGCGTATTATATTTCAAACCATCGAAAAATGTGCATGTATGCATATGATGAAACCCGTAACTTGATAGAAATACGAGGTCGGGGCGTGAAAATCATCACGTTGCCTCTTGATCATGACCACAGTTGCGAAGACGATACTTATTATGGAAATCTGCTTTGCTCAACATCAAGTATCGCTGTTCTAATCTACGTTGACAAGACCGTCCAGTTATAATGTATCCTTCCTTGCAGATGCAATTATGAGAACCATTAGTGTTGGTACAGCTAGCATTAGTATCACAAACATCATCGTTGGATTCATCAGTATCTGTGAACACAATAGATTTGCAAAGGGCAAATGAAGAGAAAAAAATCCTAGCTATTTTGTGAGATAACAAGACCATTATTTTTAATGAACAATTATTCTGTTTTTTTCTGAGTCTAATCCAATTTTGCCTTGACATGACTCTCCTTTTCCAGTGTATCCTTCCCTACAGGTGCAGCTATGGGAGCCATTAGCGTTGGTACAAATCGAATTTACGTCACAATCATGGCTTCCATTGCTGCATTCGTCAATATCTAGAAGCATAAGTGATGCAAAAGAGGTAACCCAATGGAAATATGAGAGTGGTGCGTGAAAACAGACCTCTAAAATGCGGGCTAATACCCATGGGCGATAGTTTATGTGCAAAGCTGCATGTTTTAAATAGTGTAGGCCACTCTTATTCACCTTGACATGAGTGTCCATCTCCAGTGTATCCTTCCTTACATGAGCAATGATACGAACCATTAGCGTTGGAACAATTCGCATTAGCATCACAAGTATGGCTTTTATCGTTACATTCATCGACATCTGTTGACACAAATTATTTACGAGAAAAACCTCAATATAGAGGAAAACCTGTTTAGATTCTGAGTCACTAAGATCGTACCTAATGCCAAAACTTGATTAGAATTATCTGTTGTACCTTGACATGACTGTCCATCCCCAGTGTATCCTTCGTTACAAGTGTATTTATGAGAACCATTAGTATTGATACAGTTTGCATTAACATCTCTCAAATAGCTTTATCATTGATATTTATTTATAAGTGCATCTTAATCGAAAAAAAACTCTTTAGATTCCGCGCCGCAAAGCCATTAGCTAAAGTGGACATGACTGCATCTTTGCACTCATCGACATCTGGGAACACAAAATGTTTAAGAGAGGAATCTTAAAAGAGACAAAAACCTGTTTAGATTCTGAGCCATCAAGGTATTAGCTAATGTGAAAATGGACTCATACGGCAAAGTATTAAAATAATAACGCAAACATATCTATCATTGGCTTCTTTTTTTTTCTAACTTTCTACCTATGGGGTCCCCAAAGGTAACTAAAAATTCCTAGTGAGAAGCGTTTTATGTTGCTATGTGACATCACGCTGGCAATGATGAGCTGACGTCAACAAAAACCAAATTTAATGCGTTAACCCCCTCCACCTTCTTGATCGAAACTTACCCCTTTCGCAAAATTCTCCAGTAAAGCCAGCGGAACACAGACAGCGGAAAGTTTTGGCTGTAAAACCATATTGACATTTGCCATTGTTTAAACAAGGATTTGACCGGCAGGAGTCCTAGATCGGTAAAATAAGAAAACAAGATGAACTAAAGACAGATCAGTCTAATAATGAAATAGGTTGAGAATGGTCTAACTGATTACGAATTAAAGAATATGAAAATGAAGGAATAAAAATAAATTAACAGAAATCTTAGAGCAAAACAGAATGGGAATGACAACCTACCTTTGTTTCGCTGTATACGTACATCGCTTTAGGTTTCAATCTTTTATTATCCGTTGAGTTATTTAGTTCACATACATATGTGTCATCGTTGTCTTCACTTGGTCCAAAGTTGTAAGAGACACAATCATGGTTAAGGAAACACCGCGTCTCACAAAAGTCGACTTTGTTCGAATTAATCGTTGTAATCGTGTGACCTTCAAGAGCCTTTTCGTTTATTTTACGTACGAACTGAATGATGCGACATGTTTCTGCAAAGACCATGAAAAGTCATGAGGTAAAATAGTATTGGCTTGAAATAGCCAGTGTCAAAGCGACAACGATGACATACTTCTCTCTAGCCAGAATTAGAAATCGTTACTATTCAAGTATTAGGAAACACGACGGAATGCTTGGGGCTATTTACGTCATTCATGTGGTACCGCAAGTAACAGTGTGTCAGTTGTAAGGTTTAATTTTTCACGGAAACCAGGTGTAATTTCTGCACAATCACATCATGTCTAGACCTTCAAAATTACTGATAACGAAAAGCGATGAGAGTGCCTCACCTTCTGGCTTAGCAGAAGCCAAAGCGACCGCAGTGCAAATGACATGGAGCAATGGAATTAGAATCATTTTTAGAATGTCTTGTAAAATAGTACGCTCGTGGAAATGATAAGGGGTTATTCAAACAACCTCTACTTTAAATGTCTTGATTGGAAACAGATATTCGCGACTTCACTGAATAAGAAACCTTGTGCTTGCAGTGTCCAGTCATCAATCATTTCAACTGATGCACTACATCGAAGTTATCCTGCACAGTCATGAATAATTTATCTCGAAAGTTTGCTCTCTTTGGTTTTTGAGAGTTACGGTTTATTAAGTTTATTAAACACCAAAAAGTTGTTAAAGCTGGAATTTTAATTGATTTTGATTCATTACCATATTGGTGTATATAATTTTAAGCAGAAGATTTTCAAGAAACGAAGTATTAAAATAAGTTATGTAAAGTTTTAGAAAGTAATATAGCCTTGGAAGTTATCAAAGTTCGTTGATATTTTATTTTTAATAAAGTTAATATCGCAACCAATCGTCGAAGAGATCACTATGCGGGATCTCTCCAAGAGACAGAGGTAGTTATTTTCGCAATACGCTTCACATGAGTATGATCAGTCCCTATTTCTGCTATATTTGAATGTTGATCATCTATTCATTTTTGACCTGTTTCGTTTTTTCTCCTTTGGTGGTTAATTTTTGTCTTTGTTTTTTTTTTCTTTGTACCCAAATATTATAATTATTTTAGAATCAAAAAATGTTTGCAAATAAAGTTTTAAAATGATCCTTTGTGGTCTTTTCATCACCACTTCCTCGTTGTTGATGGCAGCGATGTTGGGTGCATTGCGTTTATGAGCACGTTTCTGCGTGAGAGATTCCAGCTGCCTATTACAAAACAAAGGCCTATTCCTCAAATCCTTTAGAAATAGAAAGCTTTATCTCCATTGTTATTCAATTCTGAGTACAAAAGTCAGTGATAAACATTTCTTTAAGCTTTATCGAAGCGTCCTGTTTTTCCTGATCAGCCATCTTAAGTTTATTCTTTCCTTTTCCCTGTTGTCAACATGTTCCTTTAAACTTCTCTCGTGTAATTTTTCCAAGATAAAATTTGTTCCATAATACTCCTGCAGAATCTACTGATTACACAGGAGCTTACAAAACTCAGTGAAAAATACTTATAAATTCCACAGAAGTGTCTCTTTAAAAAACGTGGACTGTATTCCTTTTTAAAGGCAATGGTATTCGTAAAAAGATGTAAAATTGTAGTTTACGAATTTGCTGGGTGCGCGACGGTGGTCAAAAATAATTACCAACAAAGAGTGTAAACCTTTCCCTTTAGGCCTGTGCGTAATTGTTGTCGAAAAAAAGCCAAAGTCTGAATCATTTCAACTGAGAACATGACTACCATTTATGCTACTCATCAATAATTCAGCACTGAAATTGTTTTTTTCTATTTGAGACTGAGTTTGTAATCATCGGCAGGAAAAAGTGGGTACATTTATTTCATTTCATATCTACATACTTTGTAAGAATGTAGTCAATTTAAAACCGCACATGTTCAGAGTAGGAGGTTTGATAATAAATGCCGTGCATTTCTAGAAGAAATGGAAATTATCTGATTTCATTCATATTTTACACCCAATTCAATTATTCATAGACAAGCGTTCTCACAAAAGAGAAGTTAATCGATATGTGATTTGAAGAGCTTTCCTGCCTTGGGTAAATAAATTTTATCACGGTAAATGATCTCTGAAATAAAAATAAGTCAATATTTTCACAATAGGCTACAAAGAAGAGATTATGGTTTATCTTTAAAAATGTTTTCAGATCATATTTTTCTCCTTTTTTTTAATTTATTTCCTTTTCTCATTTTCCTCAAGTATTTTCAAGTGTACCCATTTCTTCTAATTATATTAGATTTATATGAAATTTCATGGGCATTGGCGAAAAAATGACATGAATGCTTTAATTTTTGTTTGTAAAACATTCCGTTTTTTTGTCAAAATCTAATTATGCAGTGATGGTTATGCAAGACCCCTCACGGATTTCTCGCACGTACGTTAGGCTCTTCACCTCGAATCTCGGGGGTTTTTAATTTTTTCATTTCGTGTTACTTTCCTGTCTTTTGTTTTAAATATTCCCCCATCTGGAATTTGTTTTTTTTACAAAATAGAAAATTTAAAGTGCTATTTAAGGAAACATTTTCATGATTGTTAGTTGATTCTCATTTATTATTAAACAAGGGAAGTTCTTTTGTAGTTTAACATTCGGAGTTTTGAGAACTAGGTCTAATACAAGCTCCATGTCTGTGATAATATCTTTAGAAAACTGATTCTGCATGATCTTACATATTTCCTAATTAATCATGGCCTCGTTCCGGCCATAATTAGTAAACATAATATTTGCAATGAAATGTTTTAATAAGATATGGAGGCAAAATATCTTCAGAAGTAATAATGATTAAGAGCCAGATAAAAATTCTGCAGACATACAGATTGTGCCTTAGATGTGGACAACTTACAATTCATTAAGATTAAGGCAGTTGCTCTGGGTAACATTTGCCCAACGTATTCTGCTACACTATTGTTTCATTAAACTAAACCTTTAGCTAAATATTCAGTATTTACTACTTACAAGAATTACCATGGGGGAAACTTATCTGCACGATTCTGTTGACAACATTGATTAACTCGTCTTTATTGTTTGCCTTAAATTTAGTAATTGAGCTGAAATCCTCAAAAAAATAAGTTTTAGATATGATTGACCCAAAAACAGTAAAAAAAAGTAAAAAAAATATAAACTATCGACGCAAATTATATTGTGTACACACCTCGACATCTACAGCAACGCATTAAACAACATAATCAAAGATTGACTGCCTTATTTTTGAAATTCTCCTCATTAGGAAATTGAGACCGAAGTTAACACTTAAATGGACTCCGTTCGTGGTGAAGTTTTTACGTAACGTTACGTGCAAATACTTCATCGCTCTATTTTTATATCTTTTCTTCTTCTTGATATGATTATTTAATGATTGTTTTACTTTTTCTATTGTGTTCATACAATGTATATTTAGTTTTTTGTACTGACTTTATAATGACAGTTTTTACTGTGACACTAGTTCGAATTTGAAATAAATACTCTCATCGCAATGGAATTACGCCTGGAAATTTTAGGAAATAATCAGCAAGAAAATTTTATCAGGGATATTCCCAAACTCTAGGTGGCGAATATTCGGTCAAGGAATGCGTGTTGACCCATAATTTAAACTAATAAGTTTATTACGATTTGATGAAATTTAAGGTTCCTCAACAGCGTATGTAACAGGCTGGGAACAACCGATAAATTTGTTTCAAAGCCTAATTTGCACAAGTCTATCCAGTGATGTTCAAATTCTCAAAATACTGAAACACAAGAGAGCCTTATTTACCCAGCCTTCTCCTTCTTTAATTGTGCCACAATGGTTGAACGTCGAAATGCAAAACTTACACATTTGCTCTTGGATAGATGGTGTTTGTTAACCGGTTGCGTCCGGGAAGGGAGAGGAGAGCGCCCCTGATAACTCAGTACTTAAAGGAAAGATGATAAGGAATTTCCCCTGGCTAGATTATGTGCTATAATTATATCACTACGGATTAAGACAGTCATTTGAGAAGTATAATCATGTGCTCTCCGCCATTTTGGACTCTAACAACCTGGATTGCTGTTTAGTAAAGTTAACTCTACCCTTTAGACGATGATCTACAATGGCAAGTTTAAAGTGGGGCCGCTCTTCCATCTTTCTTAGGAATTTTTCTTTTCAATCTATTTATCTTTGATTAGATCCTTCTGAGTTGACGTTATTGAGTCTTTATCAATGACTGAGATCAAATTACGATACCACCTCATTCCTTCCTACCCCCTCTTCACTTAGTCTCTGTTTTTTTGGATCTGTCTGTGGTTGATCCTAGCATAATTATCAGTCAGTGCCACAATAGCGTTGGTTGCAGGATGTTCGTGGCGTTAGTTGGTAAACATAGAAAGATCCACAGTTTCTCACTTTAATATAAACTGGATGTTTACAACAGTCTGTACGACCCCGAAAGCAAACCGTCCTGCTGACCTTTCCATCAGCTACTGTTGGATGATAACCGTCTAGCCAACCCGTAGAGTCAGTGCCACATTTTTTGTAAGGTACACATTTGGTTGGCATCTTCGTTCCTGCATCTCCTTTGAAACGAAACCAGTCCGCACTGAGGTCGTTGTCGCAAGATTCTCTTCCCTGGGGTGTGTCGTAGGTGGTTTTCCTTGTTCCACTGGTCAGAAGTGAGTAGCTTATACATTCTAAATAGTTATGGAAAAGAAAAAAACTATTAAGCAAAACTAAAGCTCTTCATTGTCACAATTTATAACTTTTATGCTGTCAAACTACTTACCCTCTGGCGTGCAAATGGTTTTTCCGTCGCCTTGGTAACCATCTTTACAAACACAGTTGTACGATCCAACCGTATTTAAACAGTTTGCCGATTCGTTGAGACACTCATGAATTCCATGAGTGCACTCGTCAATATCTGTAGCACAAATGTAATAGCAGTTGTAACGTAAACAATTAATTCAAAATTCTATTTCTTTCTGGAGGAGCCGGGATGGCGCAGTGCTGAGAGTGCTCGACTCCCAACATTGTGGCCCAGGTTTGTTCTCCAGACCTGGTGTCACGTGTGGGTTGAGTTTGTTGTTGGTTTTCGTCCTTGCTACGCAAATTTGTTCTCCGGGTCCTCTGGTTTTCCTCCCTCCACAAAAACCAACTTTTCAAAGAAGGGCTACTTCCACTACTAAATCCCATAACCATCTTATTATTATTATTATTATTATTATTGTTATTATTTTAAAGAAAAGAACAAAACTGAACATTACCTGCATTCATTCAGGGAGAAATTGAACGAGTGAGTGAGGAAAATAAATGGTTGCATTTATCAGTGAATTAAAGAATGAATGATGATTGATTTAGATTTTACTTTGCAAGTTTATGCTTTACCTTCCGTTTTCATATCGCAGTGAACCAAAACAGCATAATTAAGTAGATTAAATTTAAACCAGTAGTTGCCGCTGACCGCTTGTTCTCCCTCACTGGCTTTAATTTCTTTACACGATTCAGCGGGAAGCTCCGGAATGGATCCCAGTGGAACTGAAAAATGATAAAAAGATGATTACAGTAACGTTTCTGAAAGAAGAAACTGACAGTTTTGGATGATTCACAGAACTTAAACGAAGAAAAAAGTAGAGGATTTTGATCAGAAAATACAAACAAATAGAGAAACAGATAAATATATAAATGCATAAGAAATTTTTAAATATCTAGATAATGATAACGAATAAAACATTCCAGTTGAACAAAACATACTTAAAATATAACTTTTAGGGTCGAGATCAACTTTCTGTTCGAGGATACAAATAACAGTAAAAAATATTGTCCAAAGCTTGCTTTCAGCGACAGCAGAAAGGTCAGCATCTCTCTCTCGAAATGTTTTACTTTCTCTCTTTTTCTTACTAATAACAAACCTCTGTTTCTAACTCTTCCATAATAATACCGATCAGAGTCAGGGACGAAGTCTTCAGGTCTGGCTTCCTTAGTGCGGTTATTCATCTCACAGATGTTCTTGGAAACGACGTAGTTGAAGCTTTGACATCTTTCCTCGTCGTTACAGGCCGTAAGACACTCAAATGTGGTAGAGGTCTCAACTATCTTGAAGATGTGTCGTTGAAGCATCATTCCATACACGGAAACTTGACGACTGCACTGCTTTGCAATTAGTCCGGAGAACATTTGGCACAGCATTAGCAGAACTGGAAAGCGACGAGTCAGAACCATCCTTAAGTGAGCGATCGATATGTATTGAAAATTCTGCGATTGAATTTTTCCCTGATATTTCTCCTTTACTTTCCCTTTATCTTCCTGTTATGAAGACCACTGATTTTGGACCTGAAGTAAAATGAATTAACATTTTTAGCGGAAAAGCTGTTTAAAAATATATTCAGAAGACATCTGGCCGGCAGCTATGAGTTCTCTCTCTCACTGTTCGTTTCCTGCTAATTGACTTGTTATTTTCCTTTTCTTGATTAAAGGAATCAATTATTCATTTCATTTTGCTTTAAACTGGGGAAAAAATTGCTTGAATTAAAACATCGTTCTCATTATGATATTGTATTAGCATCCATCATCTACTTATTCACATGTTTTGTGAAAGTGAAATTTCGAGTCTTCGCAGGGAGGCTGAGGTAGTTAATTAGTCCTGGGCTCCTTAGACATGTCGATTTGTTGACACTTTTCTTGCAGACGCAGCTTAAGATTTTTAAACCTTTCTTAGTCTATCTCTACTGTAGTTGATAAAGTAAATTGATTATAAAGTTCTCCAGATTACTTTGTCATGTGCTTTTTTTTTTTCAAGACTTAATTGCACAATGTTTAATAGTATTTCTGTTATATTGCTTAAACTGATAAATAGCAATCTTATCCGAAATGAATCAGTCACAGTATGTGAACACGAAAACAAAAGATTGTAGATGGTTAGGATGCTCACAATATAAACTTCAGCATCCTTGTTTTCTCCTTATTTTTTTGATATTCTCTTACTGGCATTAATTATGACTCCGACATGACGGGGAGAGCTTGCGATGCTTTTCAGAGAGTTTTTCTCGGCTGAAAATCAATAACATTGTTCTTTAACGCGGTGATCATCAGTAACTAGTCATTAAAATTCGTTTCATTAGCAATCTCGAGTACCGTAACACAAACTAGTATATCGGAAGCAAATTCTTCTGTTAACTGCGCCTTCAGCCAATGTTGGATTACTGCCATCCAGTCAACCTGTACCATTCGTAGCACGCCTCATTATGGGTTGAAATTTGGTCGGCATCCCTTGTTCGCGCATTTCCTAACAAACTAATCCAGCCAGGTTCAAAGTAAATTTCGCAATATTTGGTTCCTGTGACGTGCGTGGTTTTCCATGGTTTTGCTCGTCACATCTGAGTAGTTTCGACATTGTACTTGCATTAATTACCAATGTAAATGGATTGGAATAGAAGCTACCTTTACTTTTAAGAGAATCCATCAATTGAGTGTCAAAAGCAATCCGGGATTCCATTTGTTTTACTTTACTTTTCTCTGAGAATGGTCCAGAAAGGTGTCTCAACTGATCAGATGCAAAAGTAAAACCAATCACATCTTGGTCGGCCGCGTTTTCTCTCGCTTTCTCTCGCTTTCTTTCGAAGTTTAATTGTTTTTACTTTGGGTTCTTATTGGTATTTTCCTATCTTTTGATTGGCTGTTGTATTTACGTTGGTTGGGGTTTTATGGCATTCAATAGAAAAGCACTCTAATGCTCTATTTTAGTAGTTTTTCTTCATTAGCATCTGAAAAAAATGAATGAAGATGACCGAATTGGAGGAGAACAGTGGAGACGCAGGAGCTGGAAGAGATCTTGATTTTTTATAATACCTCTCCCATGAATATTTTCCACACATTTGTGTCTTAAGTGATAGAAGATCAACTCACATGTAGGAAAAATAGGTATGTAACTGGTCTTTCCGTCTCCCATGTAACTCTGGTTAGAAACACAATAGGAGGATCCATCTTTATTTAAACACGTTGCCAAATCCCTGATGCACTTATGGATATCACTTAGGCTTTTGTCATCAGATGCGATACCGCATTAATGTTATTTGCAATGCCACTAAAAAAAGATCTCTTAAAGATACTTTTCAGCCATCATAAAACTCGGCAAAATATTGTAAGACAATTTAGCGCTCCTCGAAACATTTAACCGTGTTTATACCTACATACCTGTCTTTCCAAATCTTCTGTAATAATTCCTAGAAATGTTATTCGTAGAAGATCAGCCAAAGGAAAAATTGATGGAACTTTTCGATATTACGATGGGAGCCTTTGCTCTTGCAAAAATGTTCCAACTGTACCGTCATTATTATAATTTTATGTGTCCTTTCTTTTTTTTCCCGAATACTTTCTGAAAATTTTTTAAAAACCTAAGGGTGCTCTGAAACAGGTGTTTTGATTTTGAAAAAATGGAGCGGTATATCCTTTAGATATCGTGAGAAAGCTCCGATATCTCGTCTGTTTACAATATAGAGGGGCGTAGTTGGTCTTTTATGAGGGGGGAGGGTTAAGGAAAGAGGTCATTGGAAATGTGGAAATAGTCTTAAATTGGCGACATATCAGAGCTACATCAAACATTCGCGATACGAGACTTTTGATCTCTTTCTATGGCCTCATATAAACACTTTGAGGCGGGAGGGTGGGGATGGATATATTTTAAACCCCTTCCCTCTCATATCAGTTTCTGAAACCCTAAGCCGTCAAGCTGTTTTGATTTATAAAGACAGGGCGTTTACAGCGTTCCTCTTCATAAGGATAAAATCAGCCGAGCGACTCCTCCTGAGGGACATTTTAAACCAAAGAGCATGATCGAAACGGTATTGTAATTTTAGAGCTACGATACGTTAAGATACGTTTCAACAAAAGCAACTGATCCGTTGAATATCTTATTCATTCATTCATTCATTTGTTTTTAGTCATTTAATTATTTATTCACTTATTTATTTTTCCATTTATTTATTATAACCTTTAAAAGCCAGTGGAAAACACTACTATTGCACAAGCATGATAGAGATTGCTATTTCAATGCTTTCTTATATCTGCTCAAAAAGTAGTAAAATATGACGTCATCATTAAATGTCAGCAAGAAATTGTGCACGAGAAATCAAAGAAAAGACAATGAAATGCTATCAGTGTTAAGCGTGTAACTTTTTTCAGACAAATTTAATTTTATAAAATTATGAAATACCGTAGCATCTTGACAAGATCGTTGCAACCTTCAAAGCGCAATCATTAACAGAACAAAAAAAACCAACCATATGTCTGGGACAGACTGCTTACAATCAATAAAGTGCAAGCTTACAATGAATAAAGTACAAAAAGGTACTTACAATGAATGAACCCTATTCTTCAAAACAATTTATCTTACAGCTCATAAATACGTTCCCTAATACGTACGAAAGTCTTAGCATTACCTAATTTTAAAGAAAAAAAACTCTAATACAGCGCATAGATCTACCTTAAATCTTTAAAAAACGTAAATGCGTAAATGCTACTGACTGTACATCCATTAAGCCAACGATGCGATCGGAACTACTTAACTTAAGCGAAAAATCGAAACTGAAGAACCAGTACAGACCAACTATCACAGGCTAAATTATCACACTAAACAACTAATTTACATTCTCGTTCTGTTAAATCTAGTTATTTAACTTGATTAATTCTCCTCAAATTCATTGCAAGACTGCAATTCAACTGTCCAAATATTATTAATATCATTTGAATTAACCTGTGAGCTCTTCTTTGTGGAGTTTCCAATGTTTTCGGATGGAAATATGATATTCATCTTTCTATTGAATCGCTCTTTAATCTGCAGATAAACAAGTAATTTGAAAGCTTTCTTTTTCTTGCTCTAATCTAAGGAAAATAAGGCATACCAATGTATCCTTTTACACTTGTATAGTAAATTTTTAAAACCTCATTATCTATACCACATTTATTCTTTTAAAATTAAACTTACCTGGCCATTTCGCACACAGTGAAGAATGAAAATCAGGAAACCCTTAAAAGACAAAGGAACTCGTTTTCAGTGTCATTTTTTTAACAGTATGCAATTCAGGTTAGATAAAAGAGAGGTTTTGTTTTCTTTGTTTGTTTTCTTTTTAATTTTTGTTTTAAAAGCTTAGAGTACAGTGACGTAAGTTCAGTCACTCACACCATATAACCCCTTAAGTTACGAGAATGACAAAAAAGCAGTAGAAAGTATTTTTCTCTTTTTTTTTCTTTTTTCTTAACTTTATCATCGTATGTCTTATTTTGTAGTTACCGTAGCAGATTTTTGACTGTATCGTAATCTAAACTCTTTAAATGGATAAAAAACTAGTCGGACTAAAACTCACCTGAGTGGAGTTGAGTATGGTGAAAATGTAGGCGAAAGTTTTGTGTGCAGGCGAAAGGAGTCCAAATAACCACGTGACACCCAGCAAGGGAGTCATCACGACGCATGTTCTAATGCCAAGTCTGAAGGAGGATGATAATTTGAGATATGGGGATTTATTAATTTGTATCTTTTCTTCAAGGATATTTCTGGTAATCAGAATTCTCCATAAGGTTAAGCGAATATCATTAAAAAATTGAAAAATGTATCAATATTACCAAGTCTCAAATGTAGGAATTTGATAATATTTTGATCTAATATTCGGCACAAACTCTCCGTCTTTTAATCGTAATTTTGAAATCGTTCATACCGTATTTGCTGAATTTGCTTTCCTCCTCTTGGCTGCATTTTGGTCATCTCCCTTATGACTCGAGTGAGAATCAAAATGTTGATCTGAAAGAGGAGAGATGAAAACACTGTTGTATTGAGGTAGGGCTGTTACATATATTATGTCTCAAACCAGAATCGCAAATGACAACGTCAAAAGAAAAAATATTGGTTCAAATCTGAAACTTACAACTTCAACGATAACCACAAATGTGACAAATATCCAGATCAGATTGTTAGTTGAGGACATCCAACAACTAAGAAGGAAAAGGAAAAAAAACATCAAAAAAAGAGCGCAAAAAATTTTAAATACTGGTGGATTTCAGTTTCCCAATCTTCCTGACAGGGAAGACAGAGAGTAACATCCATACTATGAAAATAACCATACGTAAATAAACATTTAATAGTTTTTCTCACAATGTAAGAGTCAAGTTGATAAATCGTCTATTGATCTCGATGTCGCGATCGATACACGATTGAGTAGCTTGACTCTTACATCGTGCGACAAACTATTAAACGTTCACTTATAAAACGTTTATTGTAAAACAACGATGAACAGCAACAGTTCTATAACAAAAAATATATATGTCAGAAGCTGGCCTAAAAGGATAAAAGGTTATGAGAATCAAAGGAAATAGAGGGCAGACTCACTATGATAATGAAGAGGGGAAAGAAAAGATGAAATCAGGTCAAAATCTCAACAAAAAAAGTATACAAAAGGGTCGAGGGGAGAAAAAGAAACTTTAAAATTCCATCTCACTAGTCATCACTGATGTAGCTCTGTATCCCATCTGCTGCTCCAGCTGCTATGCTTAATGAAATGGCCACCACGATGACGGGCAAACCTATCACAAATTAGAATCATATAGCGATCCAAATGATACAGTTCGTTAACAAAATAATTCACAACAACATAATAAATACAATTGTACAACTAACATACCCCATGACATGACGTGATAAATATACATCTTGTCGCTGATGTTATAAACTTTCACAACAAGAAGGTAAAGATAAATTCCCTCTACCAGCATCCAACAGAAAGCGGCCATCAGGAAATACTGCATAAGAACTGCTGATGTGATACACGCTGTCTGCAAAAGAAAGGAGAGGAAAGACCAGAAAATTCATTTTTTCTTGGTTTCACGTTTCGTTCAAGAATGACGTCTTTGAAGGAATTCCACCAATAATATATAGCCACTCACCATTTTTTCTGTGGCGTTTATTCCAGAGAGAAAGATGATTTGTCCAGCTCCGAGGGACACACAAAGACTAAGTCGTATTTGAGGTAGTGGTTGTCGAACATCTCTAGTAAAAGTGAATATCATGTTTATGTACAGTGCATAAACAGAAGCAAAACAAAGCCAGGGAGCAAGCTCGAGGAACCAATAGAAACACAAGTGAAGAGCAATAATAAGAATTGAAAGCATGAGTCAAGCAGAGGAAGAAAATCAATAGAAACTTAATACCAAAGCTATTTCGAAAACGTTCCCTGGTTGTTTCGAGAGACTGAAGGAAGATGAATCTGAACACTCTGTGATAGTGCTGTGCTCAACATCTGTTGCGCGCATTTGATTCTAAAAATTAGCACGGTTGCGTTTTACTTCAGTCGCTTAGAGTGATCTAATCTATTTATGCACGTACTGGCCTGATTTTTACATCGTGAAAGTCATGCAAGAAAGCGCAACACTGATTGTTTGGAAGCAGTATACTTACGTGAGAAAAGAATACAGCGTTATGGTCAAAAGTATTCCGACGATGGAAAGGCTTAATCCGACGTATGTGATTATCTCCAGAATAGTAACGTCCTTCTTGGAGAGCTGTGGCAAAAGTGAAAATGGACAATAGAGTTTTTCGCGGAGCATGACACTTATTTATTGAAAGTAAAGTACCTTAAAAAGAAAAAAAATACCTCCGCGTCGCCTCTGAAGTCAACTAAGACAGCAAAATGCGTCAAATGATTGCATCTGCAGACTGTGTCCTTTGAGTTGCTCCTCAATGGATCTACGTAACAACCATCCCCTGAGAATCCGTCGAAACTAAAAAAATGAATATAGCAAATAAGAAAAATGATTTTGAATTTCAAAAAAAAAATCAAATCCTGCTCTTAAAAGTAAAACCTTCCGCATATAGCTCTTTTCTTTTCTGGCGTATCATACCGCTGCACTTCTATGGAGAACGACCAAAATCACATGATATTCCTAAACAAATGTACACATACAGGGGAAAAATTGTTCAAGGTAAAACAAAACCTTTATCTGTACAGCAGCTGTTGTACTTTCCTTTTAAAAAAGCTGTCCCCATAATTTTCTCTGTTAACACCTTTTAGGTCCCGAGAGGTTATTGTCAGACTCTCCTTTTTATTATCGAAAATATCAGTAATCATTGCTATAAATATATCCTGAGACACCGGACTACCACACCCCGAATAACCGTTTAGCTGATGCTTTTCAAATTGTCTAAAAGTTTGGACGCAAACAGCAAATCATTACAAATAAAACTTAAGGTTCATAATTTCTCAGTTTTTACCTCTTGCCTAAGCCATTCCAAAACATGCACTGCTTCTCTCCTTCATCGACCTAAAAAGGGATTGTATTTCTGTTGATTTAAGTCAACCCAACAAAAACGGACTGAAATGCACATTTAGTGTTCTTGCTGTTACCTTCAGGTTTCTGAACTTTAAGATGACGTCCTGTCGTAATTTTTCAGGTTTGGGATCTACAGCCGCGGTCATTATCCTTGTGTTCACATACCTGTAGAGACCATTTTGTGCTAATAACCACCTAGATTTTAACAAAGCAAACATCGAATAAAGGATGCACTTGGTAGGTCTAGGGAAAATAGCTATCAAAGTCACCTTGAATTTTCAGTTTTATCCCCGCCGCCCTGATTGGTTTGTAATAATTCATGAAGATCCTTGTATACGCACCCTATTACCACTGATCCTGATAAATAAACACCAAAACACAAAAACATTATAAAGCAAAAGAAAATAATTCATATTCTAGAACGTTAAGTCTTATTAAGAGCCTCCACCACTATTTGGTTGCCGCGTTGTTAGGTTGCATGCAAAAATTAATTTCATCGAGAGTTCTCGTATTTGACACATTTAGAAAGGCAGATCAAAGTAACAGAAGGATTCCTGACTGTTTAAAGTTAAAACAAACCATTCTCCGCAAAATTTTCAGAAGGAACATTGATGCTTGCGTGCCATTCATTTTCTTCGAGATAGAAGTCGGTCGCATTCTGGCGGTAACCTTTCCACATACCCAAAACTGTTGGAAGAAGGAGAAAAATAGATGGCAAATGGTTGCATATTTTAAGTAACAATAATATGTTGCATATATGCTAGCGTTTATTGTGGAATCTTGAATATACCCATCAACAAAACAAGTCGTTCTATTTTAATTGACCCGTTAAAAAGATCGCTATTTTGCAGAGATCATCAAAGTATACGAAAGATTAAGATCGAAATATTTCAAACTATTGAACAGCACAAAATGATGCAAAATGTTAAGCTAGCACGCTTCACTTTTCAAAAATTAGATTTTCAGCGCGTCTCGTCGGCCAGCATGATAATATCAAAACAAAAGGCAAGAAACCGATGAGTATTTTGCAATGGCCCCTATTATACCCAAAGACGCCTCTTCACAGCTGTGTGAGTAGGAAAGAAAGTTCCATATGACTGGAAAGAGGAGGTTATTGTGAAGATCCCAAGGAAATGTATCCTGTCGGATTGAGGCAACTGGTAGGGAATTACCTTCTTGTCATTTTCAAGCAAAATCATTGAGGGTAAGATCATCATCAAACGAATATCAGATGCAGGGGATCCAGAGCTCAGGAAGGAATAACCAGGGTTAAGGAAGAAAAGGGGATGAACCAACCAGATCTTCGCTCTAAGAAACATCATGGAGCAATGCATAGATTGACAGAGACAGCTATGGATGAAATTTGTGGACTTAGCCTCCGGTACACATTATGCATGTTCGGGATCACGCAGCAAAATTAATAAGTGCTTCTTATTAAGAGCTTCTACGACGATGGAATGAGGCGAGAGTATCGGCTAAGAATACCTTTTTAGTGATGACCTGCTGCTGCTATCTCACACCCATCAGCGTGGTAAGACAATACAATCAATCTCTTTGGCCTTGTTGAACAGATCGGCCCGAAGATCAGCAACAAGAAGACGGAGGTCATGACAGTGATAGGAAATCAGAGCAAAGGGATAGGATCTTTCAATAGCAGATAAATTTACATACCTGGGCAGCACAGACAGACGCGATGGAAAAAAACACAAGGACATCAATAACCGCTTAGACATGGCCAGAAATGCTTTCAGAATACTTAAGAATCACTGAGGTTCCAGCAGTACAGAATCAGGACCAAGGTAAATTTATATCAGAGCTACAGAAGGTAATCTTTCCAAGCTGTCTGTCCTCCATGCCAATAGCTTGAGAGTAATGAAGATGATAGTTTTTTGGCCAAACACTATCATTAGCGACCAAATACTAGGTCAGTGCCAACAGGACTATATGAGAACCATCCTCCACTGAAGGCGGTGGCGATAAATCGGATTTGTCGCGAGGAAGGAACCTAACTGCATCACACGTGTAGACACCTGAAGGGAAGAGGAACAGAGGCAGACCCAAGAAGTCTTTCATCATACAGTGGTAGGAGAACTGAAAGCCTGGAACCACACATGCAGCGCCATTGCCAATCTGACCCAGAATAGACTAGAGTGGAGGACCTTCGGTGATGCCTTAGATGTCCGACATAATGGCAGTAACTAACTAACTAATGCCCTTTTACAATTCATAAAAGTTAGTTGATACTTCAAGCCAGGTAGTAGCTGAAATATTAAATCAGTTGGTCAGTTGGTCTGCAACTTATTAAGAAATTATCTCTAATAATTTGAAGAAATATCATGTCTTACTCACCCATTTTCTGGCGTGTTATTTTTTTCGAGGGCTCTTCTCTATTTAGGTGATATTGACTGTAATCAAGAACAAATTTTTCGAGGGCAACTGCCACCTTAAAGACGAATTCTTTTCCTCGTTGGAGCTCTTCTATACCAAGTTGGCTGCCATGGGACTTTGTGATGTTCTGATATTGATCGGCGAAGTCTTCAAACAAACGTATAACCTCCTGTAATTGCAAATGTCTCAACTCTGTAACCTTGAATTTACGCATCAGTATAATCAGACAAGATGGCCAGGTCTTCTGATTTACTACTGTTTTTTTCATAGATTTATGGTTTTATTACTTCCCCTTCAGGAAAATAAACCTGATTTTTAAACGAAATCGGTAAAAGGACAATTCACTGGGCTAACGATCTGTGCACCAGGGCAAATATAGGCTAATCACAACTAATAGGCCAGTTTTTAATCGCCTTTAGCCAATTTTTCAAAACGAGAGCTATTGCTCAATCATTCGCGTAAAAATTAGATTAATTTGCATGTGAAAGAAAACTTAAAAACATTTGAAAGGAAGGGCGTCAGGAATCGCTTTCAAAGAGGCCAAAAGTAATTCGGAAATGGGCGATAGGTTAGCATGACTACTTTGGAGATTGTTACTTCGTTGAAATTGTTTTGGTCTAGTTGTCAAAAGGGTGCACTGGGTAAGCGTTCCCACTGATATGTACTCTAAAAGTCTGATTTATATACTTTTTTATCTACTTTATAAGATAATGAGCGCGTAAAAAGTTTTATGAGCGCTTTGAATGAATGGCGATAACATATTACAATCTTTGATAGAGTCAAATTACTTCGCAGTTTATCGTTTAAGCAGCAGCAGCAACATGAAATGCAACAGACTTTAATTTGCATAATATAGCAAGCAGGCTCGAACTAATTTCCAAACCGACCATATTATTACCATATATGGTCATGGTTATGTGCTCTTTTACCGTATCCTAGACGCTGATGTGTTGTGAACAGTATCGAGCTCACTCAATAAACACATGTCCATGCTTTAAATCAGCTATTCCTGGATGTTTCATCAATATGAATGGATAAGTATTTGTGCATGTAAATTTAGATACCTGCAGGGAGCTGTTTCTGCTGATGTTGACTCTATTACGCTTCGAAGTAAATACACTTTCCTAAGGTGAGAAAAGTCAATCACTTTGGCAAATGAGATAGATGATAAACACTGCAAATACAAGGATTAAAATAAACTGCAACACGTACCAAATTTTTAATTTTTTCGAGAGGGGTTGACGGAGATGTCCAAGTTAAAGACGACGATGACGAAGATGGCGACGCTGATGTATATGATGAGGATGATGATAATGACGATGGTAATGACGGTAACGTTAATAATATCGATGGCTGCAAGGAGAACGGTGATGATAATGATGGAATTGAGAGTAGCAGTAATGGGGACGAAGGCGACGATTGCAGAGAAGCTGTATGTCAAAGTTGATCCAAACAGTAAAATTAAACTCAGATTCATGTTAGAGAGCTCTAGAGCTCGAATGCTCTGATACTCTGATGCTCTAGGCTCCAATCAATGAACTGGAGCGTAATAGAGAGAGAGAACAAAAATCGAACTAAAATTCTTGACACCTTTAATGATTTTTTTCTTTTTGGTTCTGAATCGACAAAGATCAAAGATGAAGATATCAGCTATATAAATGTTCAAGACATCAGGACTTGATGCTATCTCGGCCAGGCTGCTCTGAGAATAGCCTGTCCTGATCGCCGAGATGATCCTAGTCGAAATTTCAACCGATAACTATTAACGTTATCCGACCTTCGAACAACCGGGGCCTGGAGCAACCGTTGCATATCAGTTATTATAAGAAACGCTTAAGCTATGAAATTGCTCATCGTTAGAAAGCAAACAATGAAATTTTCAAATTCCAAACTAAGATCTTCTAACTCTTTAATACATTTTTTATACACGGCATCCGTGTAAAGCAGGTTTAACTTTTACAATACGTTTTTACCTGAATGGAAACATCGTATGAAAAAAAAATATATCACTACGTATACAAATGATAATGACGCAGAAAGAATTTAGATTAAGGGCAATTAAGAAAGTAATGTGTCATGCATGGGTCTTTCGATATTTATTCATGGACAATAAAATGAATGATTGTTTACTTTACCTTGTTCCGTTGAAATATGGGTTGAAATAGCTTGAACCGTCGAAGCCGAGACAGCCGCAGCGACATCCGATTTGCTCAAAGTTATGCAGTCATGATTTAAACATTCGGGGCACGTACATTGCTCTCTTCCTTGACAGGTTGTTTCAAAGGATCCCAGACTTTTATTCATCAAGATACGTTGACAACATGGACCATTTCCGGGAGTGCACACTTGCTTTGTATAATAATTTGATGACCCACTTCTTGTCATCTCACATGTATAAGCGTCGCAAGTTTGTGAACAAGAGCTCCCCATGCATTGCATAATACATCCTTGTTCTCCACCAATGCAATTCTGATTGCATTCTTCCCCTCTGCATGTCAGATTGCATGTTTGAGCGTTACAATGTTGCCTACAATTAAAAGCGTGGCATCGCATATCACATTGGCTTTGCACTCCCCCGTTACATGCTTGCTCATCAGAATCCGAATTTAATGAGTGACTTCTCTTTAAGATACATTCACGAGCATCGCACATTTGATTACAGGTTTGACCGGTGCATTCCATTTGGCATACTCGCACTCCACTGTTGCAAGACTGTTTACACACTCCCTTGGTGCAATGAAGAAAACATATTCGAGAGTTGCAATTTTGATTACAATTGTCTACGCTACAGTTCAGTTTACAAGTATAATTACCAACGTTGCAATTCTGCTCACAAGCAGTGCTTTGATCATTACATTCCAGCGTACACGGTTCGTTCTCGCCTTTGCAAACGTCATCGACAAACCCAAAACCTGAATAATGATAAAGGAAAGAAGAAAGGTATCACAGGAATTTCACTAAATAAATCAAATGTGATATGCAACTCTCGAATACATCGGGCACAGAGTACTAATTCACAGTGCCGCTACATCAAACTGCACAAATTATTAGTGCTTGTTAACATTCGCCTGTCTCATTCACAGGTATTTTACCATCATGGAGCTGATTGACTTTATCAAATTGGCGATTAAAAAAAATATATGGATTACAAAGACCGATTTCTTCAGCATCAAACAGTCCGTTTTACTCTTTCATTAAGACAAGCTTTAAAAATTGTTTTAAAATTTTTTGTTACCAGATATTGAGTTATTGACTTTAGTCAGGTGGCCCTCATACGCGCCTTTGTCACAGTCGGTTATGACGTATTGTCATCATGCACAGAAATAAATACCATTTTTGGAGCTCTTTGCACATATAAGTGGTCATGGCCCTTGCAAAAGTCTAAGCTAGTAAGTTCGGTCATTTTTTTTTTTTTTTACATTTGCAAAGTGAAAGAAGAACTTTGCGCAAACCATCCAGTTAGTTATTCCAGATTTCTTATATCTTTAAATTGAAATATCAGGCGTGAAGTTTACCATCTAATCATGCAGAAGAGCCGTTCACATCGCCACGATGGACCCTATGTTAAATTGGAATTAAAGCCTGTGCCTTAATAATGGTCTGGTACTCTGGTTTCCCGAAGAACTCTGCCTTAAAATTATTTCCTTGTTTTGATAAAGAAAGCTGGTCTGTACAGCTGTAATACATGGAAAACTAGTCTAAAACACTCCTGGCTCAATCACTCTCTGCCTCCCCTTTTTCACCATGCTATTCGGAAGGCCACAGCTTCGATTCTTGTCTCGGAGTGTGCTTGTAGTACTTACTTTGCAGAAGTTAATGTCTGAAAAGGAGCATGGATACTCACTCAGCATACTTATCAATAGCAGCGCAGTCGCCCATATTTGACAAGTTTTTGACATCATGCCTCGTCTTTGGGAATTACGTTCGTGTCAGTATCACTGTTCGAAGAATATATACTATTTTTCCAACTTGTATAATTATGCTCCACATTCGAGCAAAGTTCCCTTTCACAGTTTTTTTTGGAGACTGGAAGGAATTATCTTCTCGTGATTATTTCACCTTGTCTCAAAACCGAACACCGTTCGTTATTTTGTGCTAGAGCCAGCCGTTGTTTGTTATATTATGTTGAAATTTGACTCTCATGCTAATTATTAAATCCATGTCTTTCTGCTGTAATTTAGTCCTAGAACAGGTTTCGGCACCTGTTAAAAACTTCAGTAAAACAAATATATCGAGTAAAAAATTAGCATTTTTAAGACAATTTCCATTCGAATTCTTATAACTTTTCAGTAGAATAGCATGCGTTGAGCAATAACAGGGCGAAAAAAAGTATACGTGATTTTTTTAATAACAATAATAATTATAATAATATTAATAACATATACTAGCTCTAGTAGGTGGCGATTTAAGTATTCATTTTCATTTCCCTATTAATTACTGACCATAGGGAGTGTTTGTTTTTTTAGCCAGTAAACAACTATTAGATCCATTTAGAGCGCTATAGCCACCGCTTTAAATGAGTCTCTGATATATCCATTTTTCCCCTTTCTTTTGCAAGTGGCCCTCGCCACTGGCCATGAGGGGTGATATCGTGTTTTCGATTATAAACTTATTTACATTTCCCTCTGTTCTCAATGTGAGCATGATAGTTCAACATGTTTCTTTTATTGGTTATGAGGGCTCCTTATCCTAATACCTAATATAAATACAAATTTTTCGGTCGAGAAGTCGAGAGGAATCCTCATATGTGCTAAGTATGAATTGAATTTTTTTCCTGTGGGCGAATTCCTTGTACTTTGTGGAAGTACATTTCTAAACAAAACAAAAAATGTGGAAGGCGTCTCTCGAGTTCAAACCGGTTTGTTTCCTTCCCATGAACAGCCAAGGACGCCGTTCATACACCTTCCTCCCTTTATCTGCGGAACCAAGGAGCTACAATGTTGTTACTGAACTTCCTTTAGATAATTTCATGATGGATTGATTGCGTGAGACTAACAGACAAGCAGGTAAACAAAGGAATACATAGAGATAGGAGGTAATTTGATTCATCAACCGAGTAAATAATATAAATTTGGCCACTGTAAACAGTTTCTAAAGCTGACGTTTAAAGCGTTAGTCCTTAGTCATATTTCGCAAAATATATGCATTGTAAGAAAGTTCTGTTATCCTCTTTCACGAAATTATCTCAAAGTGGTATTCTAATTAGCGCATTTATTATTTTTTTTAGCACAACACCTATAAAATAATTCAGTAGCTTTTCTTGTTAATCAAATTGTTAATATACAAACGTTTTTCAGAATTTTATACGCGGAATTTATGAATCCAAACGAATTGATGAATCAGGAATACTAGCGATTTATAATCATGAAATATGAAGACGATTATGATTCAACTGAAACGTTTCGTGGGTGGGTGGGATAACATACAACTGAGACCAGTTGTTTTAAGGATCTGTCAAAGTAATTTCAAAATTTTAAATAAAAAGTCTTACGAAGGGATTATTTAGCGCTTCGCGTCCATGCGTTACAGCCCAGTATAGTCTGAAGATCACGAAGTAGAGGAGAAAGCATCGGAGGAATTGAAAAATATGTAATAGAAGGATATATGTTGATTTGGTTTGTTGTTTTCCAATATTAGTTCAGTCAATGCTGTTTTAAATGTTCTTCGATCTGATTGCGCAACACTGCCGTCATAAATCTTCCGTCTATGGCGAGATGCTTAAGCGACATGTCTTTACAGTAATTAAAACTTCCGTCAAATTCGCTCCAGTATCTTCAGGCTTACAACAGCGACATCAGATGCCAAAGCTTTAATTACGACATGCTAACTGGATAACAGCATCTAGGAAGCGAGACTGGAAGATTTCGTTTCTAACATTTTTAGTTATTAATATTGAAGATTTGGAAAGACCAGGGTGTAGGTATTGATACGGTTGAATGTTCACTGTTTCGAGCGGCGGTGACTTTTTTTTTCGATATTTTGCCGAGTTATCTGAAGACTGAAAATTATCTATAACTGCCTTTTGCTGGTGGCATCGCTAATTCCATTATTTCTGTATCACAGATGTTGACGAATGTCGAAGTGGTATCCATGAGTGCATCAAGGATTTGGCGACATGTGTAAATACAGTTGGATCCTACTACTGCGTTTTCAGCCATGGTTACATGGGAAAGGGAAATACTATAAAATAACTATTCCTAAAAGTGAGATCATATAATCATCCAAAAATAATCTTAAAAAATCAGCATTTCTATAAATGCTTGCATCTCCACTTTTCTCCTCCATTTAGGTCCTGTTTACATTTTTTTTCCTCACGCTAAAAATTGCAAAATATCTAAATTAGACCAGTACAGGATAAAACTAACTATATTCAGATCAATTTACATTTGATTATAACACAGAATGTCGAAGTAATCAGTACTGACGACCAAAACCAAGAAAACAACGTACACCACTGGAATCAAATACCGTGACGATTACCTTGAACCTGGTTGGTTTCTTTTCCAAGGAAATGAAGGAACAAAGATGTCGACTGAGTGTCAACCCATAATGAGATGTTTTACGCTCAGCACAGGTTGGCTGAATGGCACTCATCCATCAATAGCTGAGGGCACATGTAACAAAACAGTTTGCTTCCGATATACTAGTTTACATTGTTGTGAATGCTCAGTTGTCATTCAAGTAAAAAATTGTGGATTGTTGACCCTTTAAAATTCGATTTGCTCTCAGCTCTCAGGCCTGTAGCTGATCTAGAGTGTTATGAGTAATTGATGTTGTAAATGTAACCTTCTACAAATCTCCAGACTGCCTAGTCACGCTGACATGCACACCCTAGAACTTTCTAGAACATTTCATCAAGTCACGCAGTTATTACGTAATACTACTAAAATAGTTCTTTTGTAAGCTTCTGGAATGTTCCAGAACACTTTGTGAATGTGTTTAAGGACTCACTTATGTAATAGTTGTAGTTGTTATTGTCGGGTGTAACCGACTGTTTAGAAAGCTATATCGTGAGAGATAGCAACAGTGGAAGATTGCTAATTTCAAAAAACGTTGGAGGAAACTGTGATTTCGGCTCAGTGGTGCGCTAAGATATAGACCGTGGTGGGATGAAGTAAGGTTATCGAGCATAAGTACTATACTGTCTTTAGGAGTCGCTCCTCACTAAGACTATCACTCGTTAAATAAAGTATTAGAGTTGGTGGGATTGTAGCGTTTTTCTGTCGGTTAGATTATACCGTAACAAGAGAAAAAAACAACGAGAAAGGGGACATAAGATTAAGAAAGAATGCAAACCCGCCCTTGCCAGAGTCATTAACATTAACAGGAAAGGGCCATCATTTACATGTAAACAAAAATGATATGATAAATAGATAGATAAACATTAAAAGCGTGAGTTACAAAAAACATTCAAAATCTATGTACATGTAACCTACATATATATCTATAATCAATTGATGAAAAATGCAACACATCTGCGAATCTATTGGAAGATTCACTGAGATTATAATTTACGTTTCAGAGTAGGTTATAAATTCCAACTGAAGATCTACAACTCTTCGTTCTGTGGGTGGGGAGGGGGGTACAAAAAGACTTGAGTCCTTTGAAGGTTATATGGTGGATGGTAAGATGTGTCTTGCTGTTAGAAGATGTCAAAGTTGTGATTGGGTGTCGTAACTACCACTAAACCTTAAACAAAATTCTTCGTCAGCTCTATCGAACTAGTACGTAGTTGCTTTTAAAAGAAAACACCATGAAAGCGAAAGCTGCACCGCGAAAGCTAAGAGTGATGCATATCTTAATACTCCTCTGAGTCATAATCAAAGAATGGGTCAGTGAATGCGTGGTTTTGGCGTCTTTCCCACTATGGAGGTTGAATACCAATTGTAAGGTGAATATATGTTCCTCGTGTTACACAGCTCCCAACATTCGTTATAGGCCATATTTCGTCTTGACTAGTTAACCTGTTCATTATGAATATCGACCGCATAAGGTCCACAAGCAGTTTTCCCAACATAATAAAAATACGCCTATAGCCCGAACACGGGTATATCCACAGTTTTCCTCTGTTTAGCTCTACGTCGAGCCCTTCTCTTTTCATAATCCTTGACCCTCTTAGAGTTGTATGCGTCACAGACTACCCTTGTGAGTCTCTTCCATTTGGCTCTGTTGTCCACGGTTGAAAGCCACTGATCTAAGACATGACCGCACTTCAAAGCACTTTTGCAGGTGTCCTTGAACCGAAGCTTGGGGTGGCCTATAGGGCGAGAACCGTGATCGTGCGAGTCAAAAACTCTCTTTCGCAGTCGACCAAAAGCACATGACATTGCTTGAATACGAGATGCAAGTTCCTCCTTCATAGAGCAGTCGCTGCTTACATAGCTGCCGAGGTACTTGAAGCGAGTGACGTTAGCTAACTTGGTGCCGTCTACGAAGAAATCAGCTGTGTTACCAATATACATAGTCTATGTTTTGACCGTGTTGATGCACAAGCCCATCCTCTTAGCGACGTCATTATACGAGGTAAAAAGCGATTGCAGACCCTCTGGCGTGTCACTGAAAATAGAAATGTCATCAGCATACTGAGTGTCTCTGATGAACACTGTTAGAGCTTTGGTTTTTGCTTTAAGCCTACGTAGGTCAAAAAGATCTCTATCGTAACGTAACCTGATCTGTACACTGCAAGTGTGTTTGATTTTCTTGAAGGCAAGCCATAGTAAGACTTCTGCATAGATGCCAAAGAGTGTTGGAGCTAGTCTGCACCCCTGCTTAACCCCACTATTGTATTCAAGGGATTGGGTAAGTTCACCATCAACTATAAGTCTGGCGTGTACATCTGTATATAGCTTCTTGATGATTCTTATAAACTTTGGCGGACAGCCAAGTTTGCGAAGGATGATGA